AAGTAAAACATGCTGTTTTTATAATATGAGGTTTTTTTAAAACTGAGTACATTGAAAAGTTTAGGTAACACTGACTCATGAACAACGCATCTTCACTTTCTACCACTTTACAAAAAGCCAAAAGCCAAAATATCCAGGATACAACTGCTGCCATCTAGCACAGGGGACATGACTTGTAGCCAGAGGTCAAGGTCCTGCTCATAAACCAGGGGCAACTGGGGCTCAGCTGTCAATCATGACATGAAATGTCTTATACACAGTCAATAATTTGGTACAATATTGTCTGTTTATTAAGTCTGTGCTGTCTGTGTATGACAGTACTGGCACACATACTGTAGGTCTTCATATGCCTAAATATTGTTATTCACATTTGATTGATAGCAGGAGATTGACATTTGTGAGGGGACATTGGATGAGGGTGAACATGTGACACTGCAGAAATCAGCAGCCAGAAGATTGACTATTTAACCCTGCATAGCTGAATGAAAACAGAAGCATCTTCTCAGGGCTACATGGGGCCACATGGAAAGGGGGCAGGCGAATCACATCACATGTAGATCTATTAGCAGACAGACTGGTTGAATATATCACTTTTTTCTAACAGGATATTTGGATAAAAAAAGTTTGATGTAAAAGACAGAAATGTGGATAACCAATCATAAATGAAGGCCTGTCATCTTGCCGGTTTTTATACATTTGAGTGGTTTTGTAGGCGTGTATGATTAGGCCTAAATGCTGGGAATCGATATTGACATTTCTCTCCAAAATCTGCTCCTGTTTCCTCTGAAAAATACTTAACTCATTAATGCTCCCATGTAACTGTTGGAGCTATGTTCCAACCTTGAATTGGCATTATCATTGGTAAACTAATGGATAAAATATTAAGCTGCAGGTTTTAACTAAAAGCTTAAAGACCAACTGTGCTCACTTGTTGATGAAAATGATTTGAAGGTTATTTGGCTCCCTCCTGCTCAAATGCTAAACATCAGGGTTTTTTCAGTATTTAAAAAGGCCACAATTTGTATTGTCTAGTTCTCCACATGTTGAAACTGTGTTTGAAAATCTGCATTCAAAGAGTTTAGAAGATACTATTGTTTTTTCAGCCATGCTAAAACCAAACGGTGTAGTTTTGTAACTACAGTAGCAAATGCCTGTAGGGGGTTATTACTGACGTTCTATTAATGTTAATTATTTTGACAAAAGAGGGGAGTTTGGGGACTATAATACCCTAGCAACGCTGGCCAACTTGATATAGCGTTATGCAGCCAAACACACCAGTTAGTATTAATCGTAAAAGCCATTTCCCTTAATAGGTTAAAAGTGAAACATGTTGTTGTTACAATATGAACAAATAGGCTAAGGGGACAACTTTCATTTTAGAAAACCCAATAAGTTAATTTAACTTTTGTACGACGGAGTATTAGGGCCAGACTAAGAAAAAAATGTATTTTATTTTTTTGGAAATTATGAGAATAAAGTCATAATATTAGGAGAATAAAGTCGTAATAATACGAGAATAATGTAATCGTTTTAATGAGAAAAAAGCTTCGATAGTTATCAAGATCTGACGTGACCAGCTCAACCAAACAGCAGCCTCAGCCTGAGCCCAGCAGCCGCTGTTTGTCTCAGTCGTACCGTACAGTCAACAGGTAAGCTAACGTATTGATCATTTTGTCGTTAAACAGTTTTGCTGGCTGAGCCAACAGGCTGACAGTTCTCATAAAATTACTACTTTATTCTTGTAATGTTACGACTTTATTCTCGTAATATTATGACTTTATTCTCGTAATATTATGACTTTATTCTCATAATATTATGACTTTATTCTCATAATAT